TGCTTCCTTATAATCTGGCATTAATTGAATCATGAATCTTTTAATGTACAAGCCGCTATAATTCCTTGGTATCAGATTCATTTAAAATTTTCTTGCAAAAAAGGGAAGGAAATAAATTAGCAATAAATAAAATCTATGCCTATCCGTGTTTACTAATCAACTGCTATGGTTAGGTGTGAACTTTTACAGAAGTTATTTCCTCCTAATTAGAAAAGGAGGGTGGGAAAAGAGAAAGAGAGAGAGAGAGAGAGAGAGAGAGAAACAGAATTAGGGAGAAAAAAATTTTTCTAACATATAATTTGTCTATTGGAAAATTGGTAACAGAGTATCAATATAGCTTACTTTATTTTTATGGAATAATACCAGTAATGATATTCTTTACCTCACTTATTTTATTTTCCTTGTCTCCCTCCTACCATGGTATCTTTAGTTAGAAAATAAATTGGTTTAAAACTTCTGAACTTTGCATTAGAGTTATATTGAAGGCATCTATGTTGTCACAACTCCAGTGGGCAAACAGACTTGACTGTGCTTTGCCATTATCCTGTCATGAAAAAATAAAAACTCCACTCCCCTTTTTATTCGTCATTCTGTCATGACAATGGGACTGTGGGAACAAGGCAGCTCCATGTACTGATGTTGCATGTAGCTGCTGCTGTCGTTGCAAACAAGCGGGAATAGCGTGCTGATAAAGGCCTGCTGCTGTCTATGGGTAACATGCTTGTTCTACAGATGCCATAATGATGGCAGGATGTTCTTTATTTTAGTGGAATTAAATCACACTTTCTGTGTCAAAGGGGAAAGGTGAAGTCATCCATGGGGTGAATCGCCAAAATCCTAGAAAGAAGGGTGCTTCTCAGAGGAGAGGTGGCTTGCAGTGTGGGAATTGTCCTTAATTGACCGAGGCCAGGTGCGGTGGCTTACGCCTGTAATCCCAGCACTTTGGGAGGCAGAGGCAGGCAGATCACAATGTCAGGAGTTCGAGACCAGCCTGACCAACACGGTGAAACCCTATGTCTACTAAAAATACAAAAAAAAAAAAAAAAATAGGCATGGTGGCGCATGTCTGTAATCCCAGCTACTCGGGAGGCTGAGGCAGGAGAATCGCTTGAACCCAGGAGGTGGAGGTTACAGTGAGCCAAGACTGCGCCACTGCTCTCCAGGATGGGCAACAGAGTGAGACTCCATCTCAAAAACAACAACAACAAAAACAGTGACCTAAACATGAATGGAGTAATTCACAATTATCTTATTTTACAAATATTTACAAAGATATAGTGTGTCAAGTAGTTCATACTTGAACCTGGGCCTTAAAGAAAGATGTTTTGGGGGCCAGTTGGGGTTTGTGATTTCAATCACATCAGAAAAGCTCAGAGGAAGCAAACTGAAGGGAAAGGATTTCTGGGTCATGTGGTCTTGCCCGCTGCCAGCCTGCAATGTCCTTGCCCCCTGCTAGCCTGCAAAGTACTCGCCCCCCTGCCAGCCTGCAGTATCCTCTTTATGCTAAACTCTTAGAGGCTTTGGCTGTGTTGCTGTTTTATAGGGAAGGCATATCTCTCATAAAAATAAATGGCAGACTGGAGGAACTATTGGTGTCCATTTGAGAAGAACATAAAATACTACCAAGTATTCTTAGGATAAGTGTAACTTCCCTGTGCTCATGAGGTAATCTTCTAGAAAATTAGTTATCATGTGGTATTTGGTTTTCTGTTCCTGCACTAGTTTGCTAAGGATAATGGCCTCCAGCTCCATCCATGTCCCTGCAAAGGACATGTTCTCATTCTTTCTTATGGCTGCGTAGTATTCCATGATGTATATGTACCTCATTTTCTTTATCCAGTCTATCATTGGTGGGCAGTTAGGTTGATTCCCTGTCTTTGCTATTGTGCATAGTGCTGCAACGATCAGACATATGCATGTATCTTTGTAATAGAATGATTTATATTCCTTTGGGCATATACCCAGTAATGGGATTGCTGGGTCAAATAGTATTTCTTTCTTTAGGTCTTTGAGGAATCTCCACTCTCATAACTGGGAGGTAAATGATGAGAACACACGGACACATAGAGGGGAACAACACACACTGGGGCCTATGGGAGGGTGGAGACTGAGAGGAGGGAGAGGATCAGAAAAAATAACTAATGGGTACTAGGCTTAATACCCGGGTGATAAAATGATCTGTCAAACCAACCCCCATGACACATGTTTGCCTATGTAACAAACCTTCACAGGCACCCCTGAACTTAAAAGAATTTTTAAAAAACTAGTAGTCATTAAAACAACTCTATATGTTGCTATAGAGATTCTCAGAAAAGAAACATTTAACCTTCGCATTTATTTTTGAGGAGTGGAGCAACGTACACCTTCTCCCTATCTTTGATGATTTCCTCTTGGACATATTTCTCAAGATAGCTATAGAGCCAAACTAGCACACGGATTTTCTCTAGAAAGGCTCCTTTACGACAATTCCCTGTTCTGCGTAGCATTACCATTTCCACTTCCTAAATGGCCTCCCAGTTGGGTTTGTTTTTATTCAGAGGCACCCGATCAGCTTTCTAGAGGTAGCATGTAAGTGATTTGGAATGTGTCTACCCTCGTGTTTGTCCCTAAACTGACGGATTTCCCTGCTTTGGTTAATGGAAAATGAATCCAGTGTTCACGAGCTAATTTGAATTTTTCCTTTTTCCTTTCACATCCATGTTTTAAGTCTGTGGAGGAACTGAAGGCTCGTGGCCAAATGTCAGCACTATTTCAGTGAACAAGAGTGTTTAGTGAAACTATTCCAAACAGTCTATTTCTTTGCCAACCCAATAAAGCATCAAAAAGGCCTCTGGTAGCTATAGCAACATAACCACAAGCTGCTCAATTTTCAACACTGTTTTTATATCCCATTCCCCCTCCATTTTGCAGAAAATCAGAAGCTAATGGGACACAGCTGCCTTCACTTTGGTTTGCTTAGAAAGCTAAATTTAAATTGTATCTTGCTTTATTCATTTAATTAATAGTGCATCAGGTTTCAACATACAAGCACAATTTATCTGAAGCCCTAAGACTTACGGAAAACATGCAACAGAAGAATTTTACTATAAGATATGTGGGCAAAAAATATCCAACCAGCACTTTGAATTAGTTCATTAAAAATCACTCACAAATAAAACACCTTAATGTATAATAGATGACATGGCGTTAGTTGAATAGTGATTAAGATCTAACTAGGCAGCGGTAATAAGAGAAAATCGCATTGATAAAACAGATAGTTGGGCATGAAGATACTGAAATCAGCTGTCTGGTCTCATATTATAATAATTTGCTAACTGTAACTGTTGTTTCTTATGTCAAAGTAACAGGTTAAATAGTGTTTTATCTATCTATCTATCTAATCTCTCTGTATAGTAGCATTCCTCTTTAACTCTCAAATTTAGTGTGAAAGATCCATTTACATTAGGAATCACTTTAGTACAGAAAATCTATAGAGTTCATAAATTCAAGATTTGGAGTTTTGAATATCTATTGCTTTTGATTTATGTGACATTTATTATTAGTTTTATTTATCATTATCAAAAAAAACTATATCTCAGACACCTAACTCTGGCAAGAGCTGTGCACCAAGGAAAAACTCATTTTCTCTAATCATTCAATCATTCTTTTATGTTTTATTTGCTCATCTATCTACTCAAATAGTTATTGAGCAGTTATTAGGTGTGCAGCTAGATACTACAGATGTGGGCATGCCATAAAATTCAACTTCTATATGTAGACATGTAAAAAGAATTGAATAGAGTTTGATAAGTGTTACAAAATATATTATGCAAAGTATATAATGCAGATGGAGCATATTTTGAGAATACATATTGTGTGAATTATAGGGAAGGAAATGAGCAACTTCCCCTGGGAAGGAAAGGGCAGATGAGAAGCATTTTAGAGGTATTGATGTTGAAACTGCACCTGAAGCAAGAGTAACAGCTCTTTGGTTGTACAGCAGTTGCAAAGTCACAGTGGCATAAAACACATTAAATGCGAGAAATTGCAGATTCTGTCTTTGGGGTTGTCCTAAACCCCCATTAATGTCAAAGGATGCTCTATTGTCTGAAAATCTGAAAGAGGTTTTGATCTGAAGAAATTTCCAGGAATTGGTTGCACATCTGTTCAGCAATTCTAATTTGAAAAAGAAACTAATAATTATTAGGTATCCTGTATGTATCAGAACAATGCTAAACCCTTTAACAATAAAAATGCCTTATCTCAACAGCGTTATTTTTAGCTTCATTTGACTTGTAAGGAAGCTGAGATTTAAAAGGTTAGGGAAATTGTTCAAACTTTGCAAGGGGCAGAGACAGGCATATCTACTTGTCTTCAAAATGAATGCTCTCCAAACAATCATCCCAATGAAGCCACGCCATTGTCTGGGATAAATACTCGAGGCTTGTTGTCTCATGCCAAGGAAATCGAGGATGCGGCCACAAAAGAAGTGAGTTTAAGTGTGGAGGTTTAATAGGTGAGCGAAAAGCAAAAAGCTCTCTCTACTACACAGAGAGAGGGGATCCACACCCCGTGGTGAAACGCACAAGGGTTTTATAGACCAGCTTGAGGAGGTGGTGTGTGATTTACATAAAGCCCAAAAGATTGGTCAGACCAGGTGCCATTTACATAGCACAGAAAGAGGCTGGCCATCTCCCTCTAATCTTTTATCATGCAGATAGAGTTTCTACCTGGCCCTTGTCATGTTGTCTGCCTTTTTATTGCACACGTGGCGACCAAAAAAAAAAGAAGAGGGAACCTCCATGTTGAATATACCTGGCTTCCAGGTATCCCTTTTCTATTGGCACAGCTCTGGCATTTGCCTATGCAAGCTTCCAGATTGCTTATCTATGTCTGCAGATCAATTTTACAGGCTGCTATTTGTTAGAAAGGAAATGATTTGGGGGCTGCTTTTCATTAAAAGGAAACCTTACGGAAGACTCTCTTACCCTCACTATCTGCCTAAATAATTTCTTTTTTAGCTCCTGTATCACCAAAGCCGATGCCCTAAAGATCAGAGCTGCAGACACAAAGGAAGGCCAATGCATGAGAAGAAATCAGTGGGAAAGGGAGTAAGAATCGCAGTCCCACCTTGACGGCACTCTCAGGCAAGAGGCCGTCTCTTTCCGACGCTGTCAGGTAAGAAACACACAGAAAGGTTGAGAGACAAAGACCTCTCTGTTTACTGACAGGCTGTTTGATAAGTTCAGGCTTTTAAAAAAAACGTGTTTTTGTTTGTGGTTTTAACCTACTTCCATTCGATGTTCTAGTAACACTGTGGCAAAGGAAGTGGTCCCCTAGCTCCTATACCATCCTGTAATCACGGTTATTTTGGAACCACAGGGGCAGAAAGGAGGTGAGCCCTTTCCTAGTCACCATAAGAGTCACAGATGATACCCCTATAACAGAAACAGGTTAACAAGAGAAAAGCATAACAAAAGTATTTGATCATAGTTTTATGTGACATGAGAGCCTTTGGAATGAAGAGAACTAAAGATATAGACAAAACTGTCAATTTGTATGTTTGGGTTCAGTGAAGAAAGGACATCCACATCCACGTAGAAATGTGATTAGACTAAAGGGGTGTGGATGATCTAATGCAGTAGATGGACGGGAGTAGCCCAGCGGGGCCTGCTTGTCCAGATTCTTCTCTGCCTCTCTGAGCAGCATTCCTTCCTCCTGGGCATGGGCCAAGACCCCTTTGGAATGAGGGTCTCATGACTTACTATTAAAGTAAGTCAAAGAATTTCTTTATGGCCAGCTCTTAGGTAGAAACGCGGGGGAAGGTTCAAGTAATACTTCTGGGTTTTGTGGCTGGCTTCGGGAAGGAGGAGTTCCAGTTACTACTACTACGATCCACCTTGGGGAAGATTCTAGTTTCTAGGGCATTCAGGGACTGTTAATATGATTTTCAGAACTTGGACACTTAGGAGAACATTTATACAAGCTTACTTGGTTTGAATCTTGAATCTGAAGTGGTGGATTAAGATACAGGAAGATTGCAAGGTGCAGACATCAGAGGCTGTTGCCTGGAGTCTAGAAGAAGACGGTGGAATCCAGGAACGTTTCCTGTACGGGAGTCTGGAAAGGGTCCTCTAATGCAGCCACCACTTGCAGGTGTGAAAGGCAGGCAGCTGATTTGTATCAGTCAACAAGCAGAGGTGCCATAGCATGAGTTTGGGTTTTACGGATTTTTTATACCTGTTCTCAGAGGCAAAACAGAGAAAGAACTGAGGACAAGTCTGAGTTATTGGAAGACCATTCCTAGCAGCATTGGCATGTTAAGCCACTTTCCGAGATAGGAGCTCAGGCTTCAGATAACAGAATAGGAATATAGTTAAGTGGCTTGAGGTAATGGGTGAGAATTAAGGTTTTATGAACAACAATTATGGTCTTATGAAGAGGCCGGATTCCAGGTGTGGAACGCTCTGTATAAGCTGGCTCTAAGTCCAGTAATGCCCGCTAACAGTATATGGTAGCAATATACTTCAGAATATCATATATATATATATATATATATTTTTTTTTTATGGCTACTGGGAGAACTGGCTTCCACCCAAGCCTCTTCAGTGGTATGGACAGCAGCAAGCCAAGTGTTCTGAGGTTCCTTTTACTTGGTAGATCCCTAACTCCGTGTAGAATCAGTTGATGACTGAAATTCGAGACTGGCTGCGTAAAAGACTAAGAAAGCAGGGCCAGATGCGGTGGCTCATGCCTGTAATCCCAGCACATCGGGAGGCCAAGGCAGGTGGATCACCTGAGGTCAGGAGTTCTAGATCAGCCCAGCCAACCTGGTGAAACCCCGTCTCTACTAAAAATACAAAAATTAGCCAACATGGTGGTGCGAGCCTGTAGTCCCAGCTACTCAGGAGGCTGAAGCATGAGAATCGCTTGAACCCAGGAGGAGGAGGTTGCAGTGAGATGAGATAGTGCCACTGTACTCCAGCCTGGGTGACAGAGCGAGACTCCATCTCAAAAAAAAAGAAAAGAAGGCCGGGCGCGGTGGCGCAAGCCTGTAATCCCAGCACTTTGGGAGGCCGAGACGGGCGGATCACAAGGTCAGGAGATCAAGACCATCTTGGCTAACACGGTGAAACCCCGTCTCTACTAAAAAATACAAAAAAATTAGCCGGGGGTTGTGGCGGGCGCCTGTAGTCCCAGCTACTCGGGAGGCTGAGGCAGGAGAATGGCGTGAACCTGGGAGGCGGAGCTTGCAGTGAGCTGAGATCTGGCCACTGCACTCCAGCCCGGGCAAGAGAGCGAGACTCCGTCTCAAAAAAAAAAAAAAAAAGGAAAAAAAAGAACAAAACAAAAAAAGAAAACAGTGGTGTGGGGCATGTCCACTGACTTGGATCTTTCTTCTGATTCATATTCTTGAAGCACTCAGTCACTGGGTTAAGGGTCCATTAAGTGAGGCGCCTTCACCCTGCCTGCCACGTGATTCTCACTGCTGCTTGATCTTCACTGGGGTTTTGCATTCTGCTCTACCTCACTGGTATGAGGTCACTGGTAAGAAAACCAGTGCTACCTATATATTTCTTGCCTCAAGGCAAAACTAGTCCTAGATTCTGAAAATCAGAAGCGCAGATCCAGTAGGTCTAATTTTCAAAGGTAAGAGGAATGCAGCAGTATGACACCAAACAGATTACAACACCTTCATCAGGGTGAAATAAATGCTTCTGACATTTTTATCGTGTTTTCTTCTCCAAGGTTATGGCATCCTATGCTGTTGGGATTTTTTTTTTTTTTTTTGTATCTTCTGTTTTTCTTTTTAGTTTTCCCTTTGGTTTGAATGTTCATTGAAAATAAAACTTTCAACATTTTCAGCTCCACAAACCTTCCTTCTTAGATGTGCCTCTGGGAATAAAATGATTTATCTAAATTTATTTGATTCTTCGGTCACACACATTGGCAACTTCCCATCAAGTAGTTTATTGTTGCTAGGTGAAACAAGAGGCCCCGTGATACATATATTTAGATACCTTTCAGCCTGTGAAATTGATTTTGTCATGATTAAAATAATTAATTATTTTGAGTGTCTTAAAAATATAAGTGCGGATTCGTGCATGATGCATATTTCAAAAATGATATTAGATGTCTTTTCTATCCTTTTTTGAAAGGAGCACAGAGAGACTTGGGCATAGGGTCATTCAAATGGCCTGATACCAGAAAAGGGGGAAAGATGTGCTTTCTTCAAGGAAATGACTCCTCAGAGCACCCAGGAAGAGAAAGATGAGAGAAGAAGGTCAGAATCAAAGAAATCAAATCTGTTATTAGGTCCAGAAGAAGAGCTCCTGACAACAGAATCTGATATCAAAGGATGAGAAACTGGGTTAATGGTGACCAGAGCAAGAAGCAAGAAACAGAAACAAGAAGGAAATAAGAGTGTCCAGCATTCTCAGAGGTTCCCTTTCATGGGTAAAACTTGCTTGGTGCTTGCACGCCTAATTTTAAAGCCAGAGGAGCCAGTTTTCTCACATTTATAATGTAAATGTTATAATATTTTTCCTCGTGATTAGATTTCAGGTAACCCTGAAAAGGTAGTCAGGAATTAGTGTCTTTCTTTTCTCCTTCCTAATAACATGATTTTCTCACTATTTGTTTTACTGGATTAAGTTTTCTAAACTTAGCAAAACCAAGAAACTTCTAGTTCAGATTTCACTTAACGTTTTCTTTTAATTCAACCATCAGAGCAATTTCCAAGAAGCATAATCTGACTTAATGATATTGTAATAGTTAGCAAAGTATCTAGATATTAGGCACAGAAAACAGGCTCATTGAATAAGCAAATGAACTTGCGACTATATCAGGTTTTAAGTGACTTAAATGGTAGTCAGAGATTTGGCTTCATTAGGCAGATACAGCACTTATGTGCTACATAGCTCTTGCTTTTATGTGTAAGTCTGCTGAATCAACAAATGTGCTGAAGAAGAGAATAAATATATTGAAATAAATTACTAGAGTCAAACCATTCCATCATTCAAAAGCACACAAAACTAAAATAGATGCAACACCTATTAGGTGCCTACTGTGTGTCAGTTTATGCCTGAATATGTGTGTTAACACTTATATCTCACAACCCTGATGTCACTGTTACGATATTATCTTCCTGTTATGGATGGGAAATTAAAACGGTGACACAGAGCCGTGAAGCCACTTGCCTTACCAACTAGCACGTGGCAGGAGCAGGTTAGAGTTCCAGTTCCTGCGTCTCCTCTCCTCTGTGATGCTGCAGATGTTAGCTGTCCCTGTTCAGAGTCTGACAAAGCCAAACAGAAGCCAATTCCAGTGCCAGGATGCAGACCTCCAAAATGGGTTCTGGCTCTAGAAACGCTAATGAACCATAGAGAATTTGCTGAAGATTTAGAAGGCAAGTTGGATGAGAGGCTTTTTTTTTATTTTTATTTTTTCCCTCACAGCAAATTACCTTGCAACCCTCCTTGGATGCCTTTCTTCATCCAAGGATCTGGCCACGTTGCTGAACTGATTGGGGCAAAAAGCTGAGTCATGGTTTTCCCTTTCCCCTCTGAGTTCCTGCCTCATGACACTGGCAATTGCAGCTCCCAGATCCAATCCAGCTCCAAGCTCTCCCAACTTACCCTTTTCTCATAGAGAGGGGATTGCACTCTATCCCAACTCCTCCAAACTTGCTTGGGCCTTCAAAATGGGCCTTTAGTTACCGGAAGCCACTGCCTCTAAGGATGGTAATATGTTATTTTAAAGAAGAAAGAAGGAAGAAAGGAAGGGAGGAAGGAGGGAAGGAAGGAGGAAAGGAAGGAAGGAAGGCAGGTGGGATGGAGGGAGGGGAGAGGAGGAGAGGGTGGGAGGGAAGGAGGGAAGGGGGAAGGAAGGAATGAAGGAAGGAGAGGGGAGGGAAGGAGGGAGGGAGGGAGGAAGGAGGGAGGAAGGGAGGGAGGAAGGAAGGAGGGAGGGAAGAAGGAGGGAAAGAAGGAAGGAAGGAGGGGAGGAGGGAGAGAGGGAGGGGAGGAGAGGGAGAGAGGGACAGGAGGGAGGGAGGGAAGCAAGGGAGGAGGAAAGAAAGGAAGGAGAAGGAGGAAAGGAAGGAAGGAAGCAAGGAGGAAAGGAAGGAAAAAGAGAAAGAAAGGAAAGAGAAAAAGAGAGACAATGAAAGAGGGTTTTTTTTTTTTTTTTTTTTTTTCTGATACTAATAGGTACTACTTATGCCAGATCAAACAATGCATAAAGGCCTTAAATTATTTCGTATAAATTTAGGGGCTGGGGAGGTGGTTGTAAAGAAAGGAACACAAGGCATATTTTCTCTATTGTCAAAGTGAATGCCATTGGAAAGGCAGATATAAACCCCTTTAGAAAAGCGCTGAAGGAAGAAATTTCACTGACACACCAGCAGGCCTCAGTGAGCTCATAGGGTTCTTCCTTAATTGGCTCGGCCAAGAAGCCACTTGCAAATGCAGAGCCGGGTCAGACAGACTTATGTTGGAACTTGGTCATTTTGCAGTGATTTGATCAGGGAAGGAAATCCTGGCATAACTAGCTCGTTTCTGAGAGAGACACAGTGGTCCTAATTCCTTAAATGATTTTTGGAGTGTTCAGCAAGGCAAACAGGACATAGCATTACACATTTCTAAACAGTCATCCTATTTGCTGTCACTGTGTGACGGCACATATATCAAGCTGAATTTACTTTGGCTCAATCAAAGTATCAAAGGATTCTAGAGGAGGAGGCCAAGTAGGCCATGGCAACGGCTTCATTAGCAAGTTCAGGTAGCTGCTCGTGTGTGATTGAATCCTGTCTCAGGATAGATATAGATTAAATATGAAATCAGGTCTACAGGCCTAGGTTAACGCCAGCCCCCTCGGAGTAACTACATGGAATATGAGAAGGGGGCAAAGCCAATGCCCATTTCTATACATGAAGCTGTTACAAGAAGGGAGACGGCGTCTGTTGAGACATTGCCTTAGCTGCTATGTCAGTCAAGTCTTGTCAGGAGGCAGTGACCACAGAGTCATTTGTACAGGAAAGGTTTGATATGAAGAACTGTTAACTATTTAGAGGAATTACCATATGGAAATAACAGAAAATGCCTAAGTCTAGCCTCCAGTTGAGGGCGAATGCCTGTTATGGATTGAATTGTGTCTTCCCAGTATGCATATGTTGAAGCCCCAGCCCCCTCGGTGTGACTGTATTTGGAGATAGGACCTCTATGGAGGCCAGCAAGTTTACTTTTTATCTTATTATTATTTTATTTATTTCATTTTATCTAGACAGAGTTTTGCTCTGTTGCCCAGGCTGGAATGCAATGGAGCGATCTTGGCTCACTGCAACCCCCGCCTCCTGGGTTCAAATGATTCTCCTGCCTCAGCTTCCCATGTAGCTGGGATGACAGGTGTGTGCCACCACACCTGGTTATTTATTTTTATTTTTTATTTTTTAGTAGGAACGGGGTTTCACCATGTTGGCCAAGCTGGTCTTGAACTCCTGACCTCAGGTGATCCACCCACCTCGGCCTCCCAAAGTGCTGGGATTACAGGTATAAGTCACTGTGCCCGGCCAGGGCCAGTTAGTTTCAATGGATTCATAGGGGCGGGGCCCTAATCCAGTGTGACTGGTGTGCTATCCTTACAGGAAGGGGAGCTTAGGACACAGAACACATGCACAGGAGGAAGGCCCTGGGAGAACACAGAGAGAAGGAAGCCATCTGCAAGTCAGGGAGAAAGCTGTTCCCAGAAACTGAATTTTCTGGCACCTTGTTCATGGGTTTTTGGCCTCCAGAACCATGAGAAAATAAATGTACGTTGTTGAAGCCACCTGGTCTGTGGGATATTGCTATGGCAGCTCAAGCCAACTAAGAGAGTTTCCACGGAAAGAACAAACAGGAAAAGTGAGTGTCCCCTACCGCGCCATGACTGGGAACGCCCAGGAGAGGAGGTGTGCAGCCCACTGAACATGAAGGAGTTTACTAGGTTACTCTGGGTCACAGCTGGACCATATTTGATGGCCAAGGCTGGTGGTGATCAGAGAACAGCCAGTGACATTCACCGGGGACTGCTTGGAAGGGTGAATTACTGTTGCAGTTCTCAAGAAATTGGCTGGGGCATCTGTATAACTTACTGGGAAGGCACCATGGGCATCCCCTGGGAAACCACCAGTAGGGGCATCTGTGGAATGTATGAAGCCACTAAACAGTTCCACTGAAGCCACTAACAACAATTCTACTGAAGCCACTAAAAACAGTTCCACTGAAGCCACTAACAGTTCCACTGAAGCCACTAATGGTTCCACTGATGCCAAACGCAGAGAGCTCCACAGGCATCCTGTGCACCAGCTCAGCACCACAGAGCAAGGAAAAGAAAAGCATAGGTAAACCAGAAGCCCCTTTCTCCTCAGTGTCCTTCCAGCACCCTCCATGGCATCCTGCCAGCTGTCAAGGGAGAAAGGCTCTGGTATTACCAGCAGACAATCACGGGTGGATGAAGAGCCAAGAAGCAATACATTGATAACAGGCACACCTTTGGGCAATCTCATGAACAGGTCATTTTCTTACTTACATTCAGGTAGCATGTTCCAGATTCTGGACAGACTATTTCATCATACACATAGATGCACCTGTTCCTTCAGTGGACTGCCCTGACGCACTGGGTGTATCAGAATGCAAGCTCTGCCATTCCCCAAATTAAGTGGATGCTCTCCAGCTCTGCCCACAGCCATGCAGGAGGATCTACACTAGATAATCCCAGGAGTATTTATTCTGTCTCTCAACCTTCTGGAAAATTTTCTCAGCCTTGATCTACCTTCTGCTTCACTAGAGATTTGATCTGGAAATTTATAACTGAAATATTTTCATAGTTTTCCAAGGCCCTAACATCATTTTATACAAATGCATGTGTGTGTGCACACGCACACACACACACACAGACACACCCCTTTTAAATTTAGCTTTTCCTTTCCTGCTCAATAATCCAAATGATTTGGGACACAAGAAAAGCTCCAGTGCAAAGCACCTCTGCTTTGTTTTTAATTTTTATTTTTATTTCAATAGTTTTTGGGGTATAAGTGCTTTTTGGTGTCAGGGATAAGTTCTTCAGTGGTGATGTCTGAGATTTTAGTGCACTTGTCACCCAAGCAGTGTACACTATGCCTGCCCTATGTAGTCTTTTATCCCTCATCCCCCTCTGAATCTTCCCCCCACCTCGGAATCTTCAAAGTCCATTATATCATTCTCATGTTTCTTCATCCTCATAGCTTAGCTTCCACTTATAAGTCAAAACATATGATGTTTGGTTTTCCATTCCTGAGTTACTTCACTTAGAATAATGACCTCCAGCTCCATCCAAGTAGCTACAAAAGACATTATTTCATTCCTTTTTTATGGCTGAGTAGTATTCCATGGCATATATATGCCACATTTTCTTCAACCATTCATTGATTGATGGGCACTAAGGCTGGTTCCATATTTTTGCAATCTAAAGTCCCTCTTTACATTTTCTTCCTTGGTGATTGTTCACAGGTATTGGTCACCAGCCCATCTCAAGTTCTATCATTGCTGAAAGTCTGTCTTGGTAGATAATCTTCAGTTTATCTACCAGGTTATATATATTGGGGGCCTCAGAGTGACACGTATCTCTTCTTTGACAGTGTCTCTTAAGGCCATCCTTTCTTTCCAAACTTTTGATGACTATGTCAGAAATAAAATATTCTTAATAATCGTCTTAGTCATAAAAGTAAGAAACATTGTTTCCTATCACCGTGTCTCTTACCTCTGTTTGCCACCATTCATGAGATACAAACATAATTGACGTTTTAAGTTAATTTTGTTAATTAACATGTTGCGAATGCTACTTTCCTTTTATATTTTTGTGATTAATTTAGTCTTTGGTGGTTAAAAACAGAGGAAAAACAGATAGATGGAACACACTAAATCGGCCAAAGTATCAATTTCCTCTTATTAGCTAATGCCTTGCAGAAAAATATAAG